GCAGTTTTTGGCTTTCCCCATATTTCAAAAGTGCTTCATCTCTTTGCTATGACTGTGGCCCGCCATAATTTGCAGATGATAACGGTTGTAGCTGCTGCGATGCTTTCGACCAAAACAGGCGCAGCTTGATGACATCATCAACGAGCGATAGAGCGATATAGTCAAAATCTCTATCGTTGGCCAAATTTATATCGTTTCTATCGTATATCGTTTATATCGCCCACCCCTAGTTTACTGTATCCATGTCTGTGTTTGGGCTGCGTAATTATGGCAGAAATCATCTGTCTGAGTCCCGAGGAGATCTACTGAGGCTCTAGTTTAATCCCACCTTTCCCTCTCGATCAGGTATTGAGGAGCTTTGCTCGAAGCGGGATGAGCTGAACCGACAGATCAAACAGGAGGAAGAGGAAAAGGAGCGGCTGCAGCACGACATCCGTGTCCTCTCGGAGAAGCTGAGCCGAGTCAACGAGAGCCTGACGCAGAGACTCGCCGCACGCGCCACCTTCGACCGCACCATCGCCGAGACGGAGGCTGCATACACCAAGGTGTGTCAATGACCGAGCCTGCAGTGGTTTTCATATGCTGAGTTTTTGTTTACACAGGTATTTATAAAGGCAAAATTGAAATTCATGTGGCTCTTCTGCAAAGTTAATCAATATCACATAACAGGTGCATGGCGAATGGAGAACAAACGGAGCTCTGCATAACAGCAAACCCAGCAAGAATTTCCATGTTGATTGATGTTCTGTATTATATATTATTCTGCATTATACGGAGGTTTCTTCCTGTTAAAAGGGAGTTTTTCCTTCCCACTGTTGCCAAGTGCTTGCTGATAGGTCATCTGATTGTAGGGTCTTTGTAATATAAAGGATCTTATGTAGTCACACCATGGCTGCTTCTACCTTGTGACAGAAATGTTATTTCTAACTCAAAATAGCAAGTAATTTTTGGCACAACAGCCTCATACCACAACTGCTTCTCACCCAAGTTTGCTGGGTAATACCAGCTGCAGACGTTCAGAGGAAGGAGAGGCGGGGGTGGGATACCTTTATTAGTGCATGAGTAATGGATCAGTGGTTATAAGGTGTTAAAACTATAGTTGTTTGTTGGACTGTCTGCATCAACCAGAAAAGCTCTGTCTCAAGCGTTGATTCAAGAACTAATTAAAAGTTGGGTATGGCCACAGAAGCTTTTGGCTGCTGTACTGGATGTCAGTAAGATCCCACCTGCTGACGCTGAACTCCCTTTGTGCTCTCACTTAATCACTGTAAACAAGCACTCCTGAGCTGCTCTGATTAAAAAGCAACAAATTGGCCAAGCCTGGACCCCTTCTTTAATTGCTTCTAAAGTGCACCCCACACTTCCTCTGAGTTTCTGCACAAGTTAATTCATGTTGTTTTGTTTTTGTTTTAACTCCTGCAGATATTGGAGAGCTCCCAGTCTCTCCTGAGCGTCCTAAAGCAGGAGGCAGGAAACCTCAGTAAAGCCACGGAGCCTCGGAGGACAGAGCACTGAAGGCGAGGAGCAAAACTGTGCACCTGACCTCACCTGACTGTGGCTTCTGAGGCAGTTTATTCCCCACTTTGGACTAATTTTTAATATATTTAAACCTTTGTTGTAAGTTTCTGGATTCAATAAATGTATTTCCTAACATTTTTTTGTGTTAAATCTCCAATTTGTTTGTTTTGCTTGTTGAGTGAGAGGCATAGGCATAGTTCTCATTCAGCTTAATTGGCATTCTCCAGAGACCACCAGCAGAGTCTGGAGATGCTGTGGCAGACTTCACACCGTATGACATGTGATGGGTTTGGCAGTGGGTCAATTGGTATTTTGGGAAAGCATATTGTTGGTGAATGCCAGTGTCAAGTAGAGTGGTGACTCCTGGGATCTCTTCAACACTCTGCCATGACCAGTTGGGGTGAGGGGAGGAAGACTACCTGTGCAAGTTGAGAGCGCGATGGTTTCTACTGTTCACCAAACAATTCCTCTTCTTTTGGGGGACGCTGTCGCCTCTTTAGTGCACCTTTTGTCACCTTTATTCTGTTTGCATGGCTCCAAAAGGGCTGCTTCTACCCACTGAGGTTTTTTTTTTCCTATTTGTGTTCTAGATTAATGTCCTTGTTTTGTTGTGTATAAAAATGTTTGTTCCCATGTGGTTCATCCACCACTTTAGACTTATTAGAACTGAGATTTCTAACAGGTTTTGTTTTTTTAAGGGATTTAAGCTTGTTTTTTCCCCATCAGACATTCCCAAATAATAAAGTAACCCATATGCGTAGAAGTCATACTTGCCGCATAGTTTAATTCATAGACAAGAAAGGCTAGAGCACTCGCATTTCTTCAAGTCTTCTATTTATTGAGCTTTCATTTGTACAAGTATGACATCACTTTTTTTTTTTTTCCACTTGCCCAAATCATTGACAATAACTTTACAGTAAGCACATCTGCTGCGATGTAGATTTACAGACGAGAGGAGGGTGGAAAGTAAAAGATGAGCAAGCTTTCTACCACAGTGTTGCTACAGAGTGACCAACACAAACTGCTCATTTTGCATCGGGCATAGACAAAGACGGGGTTGGGACACTGCGGCAAGAGTCGGTGTGTACACTTCAGAAGCGCTAAAGTTGAGTGGTGCGTCTCTGGCCATCAGAAAAGTTCTTGCTGGTGCCATTTAAGACGAGATCAGTGAAGTTTGCCCACAGTTTGGTCCTTCAGTTCACAGAGAGAGCAAAAAGAGTACCGCAGAGTGGGTTTTGGTCAACAGAGGCAGCAGTTACCACAGGTTGATGGATCCACAGGTGTGTCATGTGACCATTAGCCACAATTCCAAAGGAGGTCCAAGCAGGGCTCAGTTAAAGGGGACCCGCAATGCTTTTACGGTCATAAACTCTGAGAGACACAAGTTTGTTTAAAACATTCAGTTTCTGGCAGTTTTTTCTACTCTTGGTTCTATTTGATATCAGAAAGCATGGATATCACTAGTATGGTCATCTCAAGCACAGAGGCCCCTCCCACCTGTGGTTGCTTGTGAGGGGCAGCCAATCAGAAGTAAGCTGCAGTTAAATCAGCTCATTTCAGACTAAGAATTACTTTAACCTCTCTATCATGCACAGCTATTCTGGTAGGGTCCACAAATAAGAATATGGAAATGAGCATTATGGGTCTCCTTTAATCAGTGTGTTTGGAGGATTTATATCCATGCCTACAAATCACGCATACTTAACATTTTTTGGTGTTTTCGTTTACATACCCAAGATTTTTGTGTTTCAAGCAGTTTTCATTCATTTCCTCTCATATGATAGAGCACTCTGTAAACACCACAGTGAACAACAAGTTTCAATCAGTGGTCCTCGCTTTTTCTGAGGTGATCCTTGATTATCTGTTGTCTTTGATCATGAGACGCACCGTAGTCGAGTTTCTGCAGATTGTGTTTGCACAGCTACAAGTGACAGGGAATTGTCGAGTGTATTGGAGGATATTGGAGAGATTATTGGGTTAGCAAGGTATAATCCAGCGTAGTTTTTAGTGTTTTCAGAGGTGGCTTTCTTTTAGTAACAAAAGCCAGACACATAACCCAATCAAGAGCAGCCAACCTCACGAGTTTTGATTTCAGAATTTACTGATTCACTTTTAGGCTTTATTTCCCTGGCATGGAGGTTCAATGGGCTAAATTTGGCTTTTTGCTCTTGAACTAGGCTTAAACTATATCTGGTAAACTAAATTTAAAGGTGATCTGTATTCCGAGTTCATATATTTTATACCTTCAATCTTGTGAGTGCCATATTACCACTACCACTGAATGAAGCCCTGTTACAGCAAGTTACAGCAGCACAAACTGTGCATTTTCTTCTAGCAGGAATTTGCACAGATTTGGTTGGTGATGGAAAAAACTGATTTCCTCTTCTATTACTTCATCGGGCCGAGTACCCTTTAATGTTTAAATGATTTTCTGCAGAAAGGCTCTCTTGACTAAGCAGCACCAGGGAAGACTTCTGGGTCTTTTTGTAAGTTTTCTCTCTTTTCATATCTAAAATATCAGCAGGATATGCTCAATTGATTGATTTTGTGCAGAATGAAAGCCAAAGTGTGTCCAATGCCTCCTTGTACGTGAGTGCACACACAGGCTGAAGCAGAAAGCTTGGACTAATAAAGGAAGCTGATAACTGCTGTTGTGAAAGCTTTTATCGCTTGATTGGGAATTGAGGCTTTGTCAAGCCACATAACACAAAGAAAGTCCAGCTATTTTGAACCAGACCAAGTAAAATGTATACTGCAATAGATGGAAATGTGTTCATTATTACTAACTTTTTGCCAGTTTGAGACCTTTTCAGAGAAATGTATTGAAGGTCAAATCCAGCCATGCTAAAGTTTGGAGAAACAATAACAGGGCTCACTGTTCAATGTGATGTTTTCTGGTAAGCTGATAATCATACCACAGGAAATTTATTGAAAAAAAAAAATTTACATTCAGTCTTCTGAAACAGAAGCAGTGCTGAGCAGTCACATTGAGCGCATGAAGTAAACATCCAAAGTTCGTGGTTCTTTCAAATCGGTGTACACCAGCAGGGGGTTGGAGAGATTTTGTAGGCGGACAAAGATGAAGTCCCTGTGGACCTGTGTGGCGAAACTGCACTTCGGGCTGCTGTTTTTGGTCACAGTGACAAGGCCAAACAATCGTAAGACTAGAGTGGCAATAGAAAACAAAGTGGTCATGGCATTCATCGCGATGCATTCAATTGTGTGTGGCTGAAGAGTTTCATTTCAAATTTTAATTCATTCATGCCGACTGAGACATGGGATTGAAATTAGAAATGCACAGATTATCCCCACCTTTTTTCTTTCAGAATATCTAAATATCAATCAGTGCAATCTAAACTGATATATCAGTCCACCCCAATCAAAAGCCTGACTTAGACTTAAGTCAGGCTTTTCTTTGAAATGTAACTCTTCAACCAAATTTAGGTTGGTGACAAATTAAAGGAAAAGCCTGAACCCTTTAACCCCATATATGCCCTCAGGGGGCAATTTTGCTGGCATGGTTGATGGAAGTGGTCTCTTACAGGATGATAATGCCCTTCCCCGATCTTGAAAGGAAACAGGTGGGATGTCACTGAATGGATTAATGAGGATGACATCATTAAGAATCAAGTGCTACAGTCTCCAACGTGTTAGATGACATCATCGTGTTTTGGAGGCACGTCATTGAGACGCTTTTAACCTTCTCCTCTAATTTGTCACCAGTCTGTAGGCTTCTCGTTCTTTTAAGTGCACATTTCCTCTACAGCCCACTCTTACTTCCTCATGAGGTGCAAAACAAATCTAAAAGCATGACAGTGCAAAGACATCTATCAACCAAGACTCCCGGACGAAACATAAGTTGTAAATCCATCAGAGAGAAAGACAAAGCTCCTGATGGCAAAGAAAAATTGCATCTGATTGGAGAAATAAAATGTAAAAAAATACATGAAATAATAAGCAGAAGAGATGAATCCCAGTGGAGACAGTACAACAATACTGGCCGAAGAGTGGATGAGAGGCCTTTACAGGAACTCTTTAATCAGTTGGCATTATGAGCATATAAAAATATGAATAATAATTAAAAAAAAAAGACACACACACAAACTTTCATTCTTTCTCACAAAATGCCTTTTTTTTTCTTTTAATGATCAATCACAATCACTGTTGCCTTCAAAGTGGACCGCCTTCTTTCCCTGTGGAATGTGAAAGTAGATGAGGTCCGACTGGTCTGGCGGGGATCTTTCGGAGCCCTCACCAGCAAACATCTGTACAAAAAACCAAAAACAAACAAAACGACCCCCCCCCCTCAAAAAAAAGCAGATTTCAGACATGCAAACTTCAACGTTAAGCAGGAATAAATACACAAAGAGCTGAGGAAAGGCATCGGGAGGTCTACCAGCTTTCCAGAGCGGATATACGGACACGTGATTTCAGCAATACGGACATACAGACATTGTTGGCCAAGGTCACTTTATCAAGCATTTAATAAGGAATGAGAGGTGCTACTGATCCCGGGGGGTGGGGTGCATATGTTTCCTCCCTCGTCACATGAAGAAGTGAAGCATGTTGAAGTTTGCTTGCCAAAAAAAAAAAAAAATCCAGCAGCTTCAATCAGTACATAGTCTGCCAGAAAATATACAAAACCTAACAAAAAAAAAAAAAAGGCATAGAGAAGCTTTACAGTAAGACAGAACCAACAGAAGTGCTGGACTCAAATCAAAACATGCAGATAAAAAAAGAAAAAGAAAAGGGAACAAAGAAATGCATTTGTGGCACCCTTTCACCATTTTTATGTGTATCTGCTGCCAATCTGCTGTAATGACACGCTTCCACGATAACACTGAACTCTGTCGGCTCCTTCCCTCGTCGACATCCTCCAAAAAGAATAAAATAAAATAAAACCTGAAGCTAAATTTGAACCTCGAAAGCAGCAAAAACTTCTACAGCGTGGCAAGGAGGAAGATTCTGGACGCTGACAGATCAACTGTCTGTTAGAGGATCACGGGTTGGGAAAGACAGCCCAGCTGCTTTTTTTTTTTTTTTCCTTCTTCTTTTCTTTTTAAGATTTGTTGCTTCAGCTTCAGAAAGAAGGTGGGCATTGAACGCCAGCCACCCGGCAGCTCCAATGCGCAGCTGGTAACGTGGCGTGTGGCGGTGCCGTGGCAGGAAATCAGCCAGAAAAACAAAAATAAAACACCCATGTTTCCTGTCTGGTCAGGAAGATGTGCTTATAGTCGGCTGGAGTGTCGAGGTGGAGGCAGTCTGGTCCCACGGGTGAGATGCTGCGATGCTACTGTACAGCTGATTGGTCAGGCAGATCAGAAGTAAAGAGCGGGCTCACTGCTGTAGTCTGTGAGGGAGGAGCTGTCCGCCGGCGTGAGCTGAGAGAAAAGAGAAAGAAATACTTTGAATTAGATAAAGTTATGTAATCTAAGATACCCTACAATAAAGAAAGAATAGAAAGAATCAAACTACTATATGAGTTTTGGTGCAGCCCCTCAGTTCACCTTCTGTCCTCTACTTTTAAGTCACCTTTCTTCTGATTGGCTGCCCCTTTACAGACATAAGGCTGGAACAGCAGGTGGGCGGGGCCTCAGTGCCTAAAATGACTATATTAGGCACTAGAGATGAGTTTGGTTGCAAGATGAGCAGATCTATTCCCCAACTGGTTGACATGTGGTCGCTGGAGGTTGCTGCAATCACTAGAATGAAGTTGGTCACACTAAAATCTTGCATGTGATTGCTTTGTTTGCTAGCAGGTTGCTGTGATTACCAGTAGTTTGCTTCTTATCTTCAAATGTTTGCAGACAAATTGAAAAAGTGTAAGTGAGACCATTCACCTTCTGGAATGTGCTGGCTGTAGTTTCATACAGTAAAGGACGAGTGTCTGAAGATAAGACAGCAACTTCAATGCAAACTACAGGCGGTTAAGGCAATCTGCAAGTGACCAAAATAATCACACAGAGGTTTACAGTGCAGCATCCTCTCTTAAACCAATTTCACCCAGCAACTGCCAGCATCCAATTGCCAACCAGTCTCTATGCCTCTGAATGAAGGTTCATGGGTAATAGGAAAAGAAAAACACTGTCTGAAACTGTTTGTTCAATGCATTCTGAAGCCTGAACCTTTCCTAATCATCACATTAAATGTATCACCTACAACTCTATAAAATGATGCCGTGTATAACAGTCTGAATTGCTGAAGTATCACAAGTTTCAGTTTAGGACCCAGTACCTTAATGTGCCATCTATAATCAATAATCCATCTATAATTTTAACCAAAATTCATTAAATCATAAGATGGCAACATACCAACTTTCATGGATGTAAAACATGCTGCTTTTCTCTGTTTCATATATTTGTAAATCAAATACTTTGAGTTGATCGATGGAGGTGAAAAACAGGGGGTCACATCTCCTCCTGTGGAGTCTGAAACCCAACTTTAAGTATGGCAGCTGAAGGCGTTTCCCTCACCATGACCTCCTCAGTTCTCTGTGTCTGCTGGGAGGCGGCATCCTCCTGGTTAATGCCGTCATCGTGTTTGTGCTCCTGCCAGGCGCTGAAGTCCACCGAGTGCTTGGGAATGTAGCTGGACAGATCTGCAGACAAAAATAAATAAATAAGACTAAAACACATTAGATATTAACTGTGTAACTTCCCCCCTGCATTTTTATTTTTATCCAAGTCATTCCGACATTTAGGTTTTCAAGTGTGTTTTTGGTATAAAGAATGTGAGCTGTTTTTAATGACTGTGCTTTATGAGATACAGTATGTGAATACACTGTTGTTAAATCATTACAGTGGCCACTGTTTCTTGGAGGATGAAGTCGTTTCACACAATAGGTTGCTTCAGCCCTGCTGCACCACAGTGGAGACTGTGACAGCAGAGTTCTTAGAAACATTGGTTTTATTTTAATTACTAAGCAACGCCAAAGACTTTTGCACAGCCTCAGTAGAGGTTGAAGAGGGGTGTAACATAATCTGGTTATTTAGAGCTACAATTATGAGCTTCCTTATTGATTTCCCAGTGGCAAAGCACAATATAGTTCATTATGTAACCCAGAGGAGACACGATAGTCATCACGTTTAACAAACATACAAAAATCACCGGTTTAATTTTTTTTTTCTTTTTTACCTAAAAAGGCCAAAAATGCTGCTATTACAGGATCCACTTGTTAGCTGAAGGGCTTATTATATCTGAGTGAGTCAGCTGCTCTCAGATGTAGTAAACAGGACAGCCAGTAGGGGGCTCTGCCATCACACCTATTGTGGCTTACATACTCACTTTACCTCCATACAAATGAGGAGGATGATGATGGCAAAACAAAGCAGTAATGACCTGATTGGACTAGCTTTGCACTTTACACAGCATCTTCCCTTCCTTCTGCACATCGGCAGCTCTCTTTAATCTCTGGAAGCGCTCGCAAATTCTTCAGTTTTGAAATCTGCTGTTTTATTAATATGAACTTGCAGAATGCTAAAAGCTTTATAAAACTGGATCTATGCATGTAGGTAAGTAGTCAGATTAGCAGTCTGATCTTTCAGTGCCATTTTGCCCAGATATATAAATACCCCCAAAAAACCCAAACAAACTAAACCAGCCCCCTTTAAAAAAAAAAAAAGACAAAAATACCACTAGCCTAGCCTCCGTTCATTTAGCATGCGAATACACTTCACCATTTTAATCTCTGCTCCACATGCAGTGTTTTTTAGTGCTAAACCTTTAATTCTGTTAACATCTGCTTTATCTAATTTGCATCAGAATGTGGCACGTGCGCTGTCTGGTAGGTGTTTTTGCCTAAATTAATTTTGAATAAACCTAAAAGCATAGCTGTGTTGGCAACAATTAACATGATTTTTAACTCATTCTAAAATTATTATGAGGCTACACATATGACAAATATGCTCGCACTGAAAGCCTAAAGCCTTAAAGATGAAAACTGACCAAACATGCTCATGCAGACAGGCTAGCCTGATGTTTTTAAGTGATATAACTTGTCATGATAAGCAAACTGCTGTAAAGGTTTTAAGTTAATCTGGGGGCAGCTCACAGTAAAAGTTCAGTAAATGCAGCTCAAGAGTGAAGACAAAGTAGGGGTGTGTTTTTTAAAGCTAGTTAATTTCTCCCACCACTAAAAATACTGGATCAATCATGAAAGGTGATTCGCTTTGATAAGTTTGATTTACATGGCTGGTCGCTTGCAAACTCTCCAGGCACTGGTTGCCTAGGTAACCCTCTAACGTCTGAAGTGAGAATTTAAAACTAAAACTAAAACTGAAAAAGTTTGTCCTTGCAAACAAAAAACTTGCAAGATAAGTGCGACTGCAAATGCACTTATCTTGCAAGCTGTGCCATTAAGTACAATCTGAGCCAGTGGATTTTAGGGTACATTGTGATGATGATAAATAAAATAATAATAATCCTCATCGTCATCCTCTGAGGACCATGAGTATATGAAGGAGATTTGACAGCCAGCTCTTCTTTGTCTCACAAAATCTCACCGTTGCTGTTGGTGGTGTGGGAGGGCGAGCCGGTCAAACTGGCTCGAGGGATGTGGATCCGTCCTACCATGCTTGGCTGTTCGTCTGCCAACTTCTCATCTTGTTTGTCCTCCTCTTCCTCCTCCCCGCTGTCCCACACGCTGCTTTCTGATGGATACTCGTAGGTGCTCTGGAGGCTGGACTCATTGAAGGAGATCTTTAGCTGAAAGATGTGCAGAAAAATGGGTGTGATCACCTGCTGTTCTTTTTAAACATCTGTACTTACGAATATTTAAACTCTTAAAATATAAAGTCCTTTGCTGTAAATCCACATGGTCATACATGTATGTTTCATGTTGAGTGAAACATACATGTATGACCATTATCAAAGAGCTCAGTTCCTGTCTCCTAACTTGATGTTTTTGCGAAGATATGATGTGAAATGTCCAATTATGCCCCACAATATCCTGCAATAAATATAAAGAATCTTTCCAAAAGTTCCCGGATTTGGATCAGGAGCATCTACACAAATTAATCTCTTCTAAATTGGAGTAACTTCCTATCTTTAGTAAAAAAAAAAAAAAAAAATACCAATCCCTTGGTTATTTTCTTGGAAATACTCCTAATGCTAACAAACACACCAATAACACCTCATCACCAGATTCAGCATCTCACTCAAGTGTTTTTGTTTGAAATCAGCTTTGAGCTTCTTGTAATCACTTTCTACAACTGAAATACCTCAAATTCTACCAACATGCATTTATTTACTTCCTGGCAGAATAATTTGATGCAACGCCGCCTTGACTTATAAACCTGATTTGTTTACAGGCCAAACTTCTCCTTTCCCAGCACAGATTTGAACTTGACACTCGCAGCAGGCTCCTTCAAGAAGGCTTCGTTTTACGAGCCCAGTTAAACTGAACAGGTTATTACTTCCTTATTGCTGCGTAATTATACTGTCGATACTGAGCATCGCGTGTCTCAGTCATTTGATGACACTGCAGTCATGGCAGTTTAACTCGATGCAAACCCACTTCTTCATAACTTATTCAGCAAAGCTTTTAATTAGGATTCCTGCAGAGCCAGCTGCAGTTTGTTCACTCATCTGAGGCTACGTGTGCTGTACTTTGTGTGCCCTCTAAGTGGGACAGGTGGCAGCCTTGCAGGAGCTCGAGGGCCTGTGATTGATTGTCTCAGAGTATGCAGCGAGACGCGCCTGTCTGGCAATGCTTCAGAGGCTTGCAAACACAGATCTGCGGGGTGAGACGAGCCCTCGCACTTTGCTGGGCTGTGTAATGAATGCAACAGAGGTTTAAGCTGTCAGGGAGCATTTATTCTAAAGGGAGACATCTCACCACCTGTCTCCTGTCACCTGTAGAGAAATCTACAGGTGGTGTGATCAACATGTATGTGCATCAGCTGTGCTGCAATCAGATCTGCCTATCTTGCCGACAAATCCAGGTATCTCTGTATGTGTTTGCCCATTTTTCACAGCTCTCAAAAACCATTCCCTTGTAGACTTGACGTAAAAGACGTTCGTAGCCACCGTATCATCACATCCTGAACCAGCTACCCTGCTGGCTATTCAAAGAAATGCAAGTTCAGGAAACATCCATTCTGGCTTTTCTTCTACTGTGTGTGGGCCTCACCTGTGTCAGTACTCCTGTCAATATATCCTCAGATTTTGCGATTGTGTTTCTCCTGTTCTGCACTTTGTGTCATTCAGCGACTGTTTTGGATTGAAGGTGACTTGACTATTTGATTATTTATCAACATTAGCTCGGCTCCTCTGGCTCACTGAATGCATTTTATGTTTATTAGTAGCAACACGTACACACTTACACACACTACTGCCTGCATGTCAGATGTTGTGGCTACAGAAAAAAAGCTTAGTTCACTAGTTTATACAAATTAAAGCTAAAATACATCTTCCATTTCTGAAAGCTAACAGGAATTAAAAAGCACAAACATATGCAAAGACACCATCTTGCCATCAGTACATGCCTACTGCACATGATTTTTCTGGAGTCAAGTGTGCAGCTCTCTTCCTGAGGGCTTTATTTTGAAGTTGGCAGAAAGTCTATAAATGGTTTATAATAAGTTACTATTTCTGTCTTCTGGTCGGATGTAGGCGTTGCAAAATCAAAAAGCTTGTATTTTTTTCCCCTGAGTTGCCATGGCATTCAAAACTGACACACACACACAGACAAACCTGCTGTTTGTCTGTGTCTTCCCTGAGGCGATCAGCTGACTGTTCTTAACCTGCTGTACCTGGCTCCATCAACTCTGCAGGCCTTGATCTAAATCTGCTCTAATCTCCATCACAAGGCCGCCCTCCACCACTCAGAGCTCGCAGTTAACCTATATTATAAAACTTCTTTCCCCCGGATCCTTTATGTCCTCTCTGTAATTGATAGTCGGAACAGGAGCGTTTCCAGGTGTGGCACAGAGGATAAAGAAATCTTGCCGAACTATAATACTAAACCACTTGTAAACTGATTGAAAGTTAAAATGGTTTTAAGTGTGGACAGACCTCCTGCCTCCATAAATATGTATTAAAAGATGTGTAACAATACAATGACTGCAATTAAACACAAGGTTCAAAATTCAGCCTGTCTGTGACCATAAAAAGAGGATGCAATAAATAAGGTGAACTGTGCATTATATATACACATGTTGTATTAGGTTCACCTTCATAAAGTAAGAGTTCAGTTTGTTTATTTTCAGCATTATACACTGAAATATATCCACCCGTCCAGTAGATCAGTAATCCTACAGTGTTTCTATAACCTCTTACACTACCCAAAAAATACAAGCAGGTATATCTATCCATACAGACATACACAGTAAAGAAAAACAACAATCTTGATTCTTCTAGTGTACACTATGAAGACAATTACTCTCTCTTGTGCACTTTGGCTAAGGTAACAAAGAAGCTGATGCTAAAAAGAGAGCAAAAGGAAGAAGCAGGTGGAGGATGATTAAAAAACCCATCCATAAATGGGTTATAGCCAAAGGCGACATTGTAAGTGATGGCATCCAACAAAAATCTAAGTCTTTAATGAATTTTGTTGTATTTACTAAGCACTGAAAACCAAAGTATGATCACACCTCAGCGAAAGAGCTGCCTATTGGAATAGGTCTATAAAAATGTTTTGTTTAAAGCTGTACATTTAATTCCTTATTATTCTGTACATTGGCTTGGAAAACTGGTAATTATGGTAGTTAAGGTTAGAAAATATTGATAAATGCTGAAATTTGAGAATGAGGCCAAAAATCTTGACCCGACTCGCCCGACCACTGTCAAGTGTTTACGTGTGAGAACATCCAGACAAGTATCTATGAGATTTCGAACTTTAGAAATCAGTTTTAACTGCTGAAGTTTAGTGACAAACCACATCTGCCGTACGTCCGTTATCATATCCTGATGATATGACAGTTACCAATATCTGATTAAGGTTAACAGAAAGCTCATAAAAAAACAAATAACAACATGTATTAAGATAATAATATCAGTAGGATTTGTGCATATTTTACAAATCTTATTATCTTATTGGTATTAATGTCAAGTAAAGCACATTACTGAACAGCTGATGAGTGTAATGCTTTTAAAGTTTTTGTCTTGTCTGTTTTTCAAGGCAAAATATTATTAAGAAATAAATTAATATGGCACAAAAATCCATGTTAAGTCCAAAACAAATGAGGGGTGGGGGTTAATAGGTAAGTAACAGTAACTTTAGCATTTAAATAAAAGGACTTATTTCTTCCTCTCAACACTCAATTTTACAGTACAAGGTAAATCCATAAACATCATTTATGCCTTTAGACTCTTTTTTTTTTTTTAATGATCATGGTATTAGATGGAAACTTGGGGGTTCAGTATCTTGCTCTGCACTTTGAGAGCAGACTGGAGGAGCTGGTGACCTAACCAGCGACCTCCTGTTAGCAGGCGACCTAGTCTACTTCCTTAGCTAAAGCCACAGTTGGTGTGGAAATGACAAGCCAAGGGTGGGTCTGACTGAGGACCCGAGAGGCACTGCATGCTTATAGGCATCACCATGTGGTAAAGCATGCCCCATTTTACCCTCCATTTTTACTCTTAGTGGGCCATAATGTACAAAATTAACATTATCCTGAATTCATTAAGACTTGGAGCTAATGAATGAGAAGCAAAACTAATCGGGAGAGTGCATACTAGATGGGTCTCCCCCTGCTGTTCATTAGAGATAATGCCAGCGTAATTCACTTTAAACCTGGAAGCTACGCCCATCTTTTATATACAGCCTATGGTTCAAACCTCAGTCTGTGACTTTTAAACTAATCATGAGTACTGTTTTCCCAAATATTCCTCCTGACAGCCATGATGAAACATCAGTATTCAGCAGTAGTAACAGCAGAAACCACAATGCCATTTAAATCCTGTGTACACACACTCTTGACACAGTGTGTTAGCAACTCTGAAAAGGGCCCTCGCTCCCAGAAATCTCTTATTTTTTAGCCCCAAACCTCTTTTTTTTAAGTTCCTCTGTTAAATCCTACCCCACATAAAAAAGGTTTTCCTTGCTAAACTGGCATCCTGACTTAGAGGAAGTCTCTGGATGCCAACAGCACGTCCCATCAATAAATCAGGCTTGCTGCTGGGCTCGCTTCCCCTTTCAGTCTTTCACTTTTTCTTTTTGTCTTTCTTCTTCTCACATGAGACTCGACGGTTAGACGAGACTCCTCTGCAGCGCCTTACTCCGCATCCTCTCTCTGACTTGCTGCTTTAGCTGTCCTTTCTTTTCTCCGTAACATGAGAAAAGAAAGGGGAACGAAATTCTGTGCAATTTAATAAAGACCACAACTTAACGGGGATGTTTGTTTAGGGGCCGCTCCCTTCCTGCTGCAGTTAGTTGTGTGGCTCTTTTTTCTATGATAAAAGGCTGCATCATGGAGGCAGAAGCGATTCGTCTTCTGTCCTCAGGCTATGGGACAGGCCATACTCACGCCTGCTGTCCTCCTTGCTCACCACAGGGTGCCAAACAGATGCCATTAAACAGGACACTGATTTAGATTCATTTCCACTTTGCCTTGAGAAAGACGCTTTTCATTTTTCATTGTTTCAGCAGGGTATTTTTTTGATATGCAGTCTACTTTTATATTATTTATTGATAAAGTTTAACGTTAGAAAAACAGTCATCTTCAAGGACTTTTTTGAGCCAGCACACAAACACCCACAGCGAT